GCGGGACACTACAGGTGGGTAGCTATGCATTGGTTATGTTGATTCGGATTATGCTAGGAATTTGGATAAGCGCCGGTTGTAAAACCCTAAAATTTTAAAATTTTATTTTTATTTTATAATAAATAATAATAAATATGTTATATTATGATAAATGATATTTATCAATATTTGAGTATGCTAGGAATTGATTTGAGATCAATTCAATGTATATATGTGAATATAGAAGTGATATCATGCACACGTACACGTGCCTGAATCTGGGAAAAACGACCAGTTAAAAGTATATGCATTTTACATATAGATACAGTTGAAATTTGTAAAAATGTAAAACAGTAAAGTTGTAGGTCTCTTCAATAGCTTTCCAATAAATCTTAGATCACCTTATTCCGAGTTCGTATGAGAAAGTTACAGCCAAAATATCGTAGACTGACGGGTTGTTTCCAGATTCTAATAGGTTTCGGGTTTGGGCTTTTTGAATCGGGTTTGTTGCTATATAAAAACATGTTGGTGCACGAAAAAAGATCTATCTTCATCAGAATACCAAACCCTAGCAGCCCCTACCCTCCTCTCTAAAACCCTAGCTTTAAATCTTGTGTTTTTGGGAGAGTTCGTGAGGCGAACATCGAAGGAAATGTGAGATCTGTGGTGTTTGGCGGTAAGCGGTCGTTTCATATCATCTTCAGAGACTTGCACACGTCTTTAAGGCAAGATTATCTCCTACCCAAATCTTCCCAGTAATTAGTTGAAATTTTAACAAGTTATGAACGATATTATGCTTGCTTAAGCTTACTGTTATGTTAAAGTAAAAATTTGATTTTGATGATAATTTTGATCCAATGATAGAACTGAAATCTGATTTTTATTTTGAACTCCAAATTGAACAAAACTGATGTCATATGAAAGATATGTGAATCTAGTTTTTAAAACAGAAAGAAAATCTTAAAAAGGATTTATATTGAGAAAGATATAGTCTTTTTAGTAACGACATGTCATGCAGAAAACTGCAACCTGTGTGATCAACTTCAACTGAAATCTGGTTTTGATTTTGAACTCCAAACTGAACAAGACTGGAGTCATATGAAAGATATGTGAATCTAGTTTTTAAAACAGAAAGAAAATCTTAAAAAGGATTTATATTGAGAAAGATATAGTCTTTTTAGTAACGACATGTCATGCAGAAAACTGCAACCCGTGTGATCAACCTCAACTGAAATCTGGTTTTGATTTTGAACTTCAAATTGAATAAAACTGGTGTCATATGAAAGATATGTGAATCTAGTTTCTAAAACAGAAAGAAAATATATAAAATGATTTGTATAGAGAAAGATATACTCTTTTTACCAACAACATGTCTTGCAGGAAAACTGCTGCACATATATGATGATTAACTGGATATTTGAGATAACAAATTAATTCCAAATTTAACCAAACTAGTTCCATTTGAAAGATGTGTGAATCTAGTTTTCAAAACAGAAAACTATTTCTAAAAATAGTTTTCCTAGCAAATGATATGCTTATTTTACTAACAGTAGCGCAGACCATTTCCTGGGCAGTTTGCCTCAGTTTCTTGTTTTCTGAAGTTTGTTTGCGTTGTTTTGAGATGTGTTTGCGGAGTTTGAGCCGCTCGATTGTTACACTTATAGTCATAAGTATGTTATAATACGCATATGTGTATCCCAATGGGATTATGATCTGATTTGGTCTATTGACATATTGTGTTAGTTTTGTTGTGATAAATGGTAAACTAGAGTTGCATATATTTGTATGAATATCTTTGATGAACTACGGGAGGCTTGATCCCTTGAGAAAGAGGGTACGTAGGCAGCCAGATTGGTGCAGCCAAATTATTTGTTGGAATTATTTGTGTGAATTATTTTTATTGATGATGCGATGCTATCTATTTGTCGATCGCCGCTCAGTTTTGAGCCCAATGAATCTCGGCTCTGTGAACGGTCGACCGGAGTGGTCTCTGCGGTCGACCGCCACATAGTATTGGCCACTGTTGATTTGTGATGTATCTTTCCTATGTTGAGTGTTCGCCTCAATTATTTGATACCAATTTATTATGTTAGTGAGTTATTTATACATGTGAGTCGACTGTTGACACAAGTACTGATCCGCATGTCGAGGCACGTGCGACATGAGACCTTGTGTATCTTTTGTGCATATATATACATATTTTCGACACTTACATTTTGTAAAGTTCTTATTTAGTCCTCGTGTTGGACATTCACTTTGCTTAGTCCTCGTGTTGGACATGTATTTTTATTTAGTCCTCGTGTTGGACATTCACTTTGCTTAGTCCTCGTGTTGGACATGTATTTTTATTTAGTCCTCGTGTTGGACATTCACTTTGCTTAGTCCTCGTGTTGGACATGTATTTTTATTTAGTCCTCGTGTTGGACATTCACTTTGCTTAGTCCTCGTGTTGGACATGTATTTTTATTTAGTCCTCGTGTTGGACATTCACTTTGCTTAGTCCTCGTGTTGGACATGTATTTTTATTTAGTCCTCGTGTTGGACATTCACTTTGCTTAGTCCTCGTGTTGGACATGTATTTTTATTTAGTCCTCGTGTTGGACATTCACTTTGCTTAGTCCTCGTGTTGGACATACATTTCTATTTAATCCTCGTGTTGGATATGCATTACCATCCGGTCCAAGCGTTGGACAACGGTCACATCCGGTCCATGCATTGGACAACGGTCACATCCGGTCCATGCGTTGGACAACGGTTATATTCAGTCCATGCGTTGGATACTCGTTACTTTCAGTCCATAAGTTGGACGTTTACTTCATGCAGTCTATGGGTTGGACGTTTAATCTATATAGTCTATGTTTTGGATACTTAATCGTTTTCTGACATGACACTCATGTGAGTTTGACATGACACCATGTTTGAAAGTAGAGATGTGTTTCGTTTTCTTTTATTATTGTTCATGTATTAGATTATGGGTTTGGTACTTAGGGATTTTCAATTTGAGATACAAGGTATATACATGAGGGTTTCCTTGTTTGGATTATTTCGCTCGACGTACCTATGCTCGTGTTGAAATTTCCTAGGTACTAAAATCCCCCTTAGTTTTAGGACAATTAATTATACATATATGATTTGAGACTTGTTAAGAACTCCAGTTTATTCATTTCAGACATTGACTTTGGATTTCTGTAATGTTGGATTATGAAATAGTATTTTGACTTCTATCATTTCATCAGTTATCTCTTGTATGATTTCTTACTTGCTTTTGTACCTACACCTGTTATTGACTCTACTAGAGTGATAGAATTGTGATGGTGAAACATGTTATTGCACGGTGTAGTGCATGGCAGGTTTGACATTCTTGGTTTCACCTTGGACTACAGCCTTGTGTGAACCCAGGGGCGTCACACCGGTCTACTACGGGGTATGTGTTCACTTTGACCCATGCGCCGGTGTATTGGAGATGCACCTTACAGTCTACGGTGGCTTTGTCTATGACGTAAGCAGAGTATATGACGATTACGGAGGCTGTGAAGGAGGCTATTTGGCTTCGAGGACTTTTAGAGGAACTTGGTATATCGCAAAGGTCCGTCACTATTTATTGTGATAGCATGAGTGCTATCTATTTGGTGAAGAATCAGGTTTTACATGCAAGGACGAAGCATATTGATGTTCGTTATCACTTCATTCGAGATGTTTTTGAAGATGGTGATGTGGAGATTGTGAAAGTCCACACGAAGGATAATCCGGCGGATATGCTCACTAAGGTGGTTCCGAGCAATAAGTTTGATCATTGTCGAAACTTATTACACATTTGTTATTGTTTAGACCGTTGGCGGCCATTTGGGTGAACTACGGACGGCTTGATTCCTTAGGCAAAAGGATATGTAGGCAGTCTTTACGATGCAGCCGATTTGGATTAGTTGATTTTGATGGGGGTGAGATTGTTTGGACTCTCGTTCGGGTTCCCGACTTGATGTGGATTGAGTCCGTTGTCGTGAATTAACTTCACGGCGTACTGGACACAACAAGTGGGACATTTGGCTACTTTGGTGTCGGCTTAGTTTTGGAAAAACTTCACCGAGGTGGAGATGAACGGACCAGAACAGACAGGCCCACGAAGAGAAGGCCCACGAAGAGTATTGTAGGCAGCCACTTTGATTCCAGCGGGCATATCAATATAAATAGGTACCTAATGTGTCATCTAGGGTTTGGTGCAAAGAGGCTTCGTGATAGGAGAAAAGCAGAAAGGAAAAAACAGCATGAAAAAAAAACAGTAGAGATTCTTTTCGGCGCTGTTTTGAAGAGGAGTTTTGTGCAGCCGATTTTTTAGAGTTTTGCATCCTTTTGAGAGAGATATTTGTGTGAGGGATTTGAGAGCTTGGTTGAGGGTTTAAGTTGTGTAATTATAAACCCTAGTTGTATTCTCTCCCTCTAGTAGTAGATCTCTCCCCTCCTTGCCCCGTGGACGTAGGCTATTTGCCGAACCACGTAAAATTAGTTTGTCTCGCTATTTGTGTGATTTGTAATAGCTTACTTAGGTTCCCTCGACAGGTCAGTCCTAGAACTGATGAGAGGGAGCTGATATTTCACTTCGTTGAGATATTTTGCTTAAGGTTCTTGTTTCCTTTGTGAAACAGGAATTCCTATTGCAACCTGACTCTCTTGTTGTGCTGTCGAAGTGCTGCCGAAATTTCCGTTGCGCACAACAGATACATAAATTCCAAGGTCACTTGTGTAACTACAACATATCCCGAGGTATCAGAAAAGTAACTAAGAGATTTGAAGATCTAATATAAAATTTAAGAAGATTTGGGCAACTAATTTACAATTAAAGTAGACTTGGGATTGTAATATTTTTCAAATTCAGTGCGTCTCTCTCCGAGACTCCGACATATACCATTAGCGCGTAAACCATCACTAGCAAAGATGTCAAGCCAAGCGTTCAGAAGCCCATTAGCGCGTAAATCCTCACGAGCAAGCAAGGGGAAAAAAAATCAATACTCATACAAATCAGAATCTACGTTTAAGAATCTTCAATCCCAAAATATAATACTAGCAGCCTAAACCCTAATTCAAAAAAAAAAAAAAATTGCAAACTGTGCTAACTAACTGATAAAACTTTAAACGCGGCAAACTGAACTAATTAATAATGTCGCGGTTCTCTTGGACGCCCCTGGGTCCTCAGCCCTGTTTAATTTCAGCCTCCTCTTCCGCCGTGTAATCCCCAACGATCTCAAAATAATCTCTCACCTCGTCCACGGTCATGTTCTTGATGATGTCCGCGAAAGCCTGGCACGTGACCTCGAAGAGAGCCCGGGAGTCCAAATAGTTGGCGGCCATCACCACCCTCAACATCTCCTCCCTCTCCATCCCCTCCACAAACTCAGACTCCCACCTGTTCTTCTCTTCATCGGACGTCCACTCGCCGTTGCGATGGCTCCAGAACTCGATGACTCTGGCGAGGGTGGGAGCGTCGACGTTGGGGAGAGGAACCGTGTGAGGCTGAGAGTTGTCAACGGAGGAGGAGCCGAGGAGAGAGTTCTTGATGGTCTCTGACTCTTTCACTGCGATCGATTCTTCCATCTCGAACTTCTCCCCCTCGTTGCTACGTAGTATTATCATCCTTTTCGTTGTGGTCGCCGTCGCAGAGGTTGAGGCTTGGTCGGAAGAAGACATGTTTTTGGATTCTTAATTAGCTTGTACTTTTGCAGGTATGAATGCTTTTTTTGGGGTGTTTGCCGCTGCATTAATTTATATGGAATTTGTAACTTGATGCGGGTGGGATTAGGAAACACTATTCAACCAGAAATACGGTTTCATTAACAAGATACTATCTTTTCATACACGAATAAGTATTCCTCTGAGACTTGGAGTCTCGAGTTGACTACCTGTTAGAGTGAGTATTGTTCGGTGCAAACCAATTAAAATAACTGAACCGGTCTAACTTTGGTGGTTCGGTTCGGTTCGGTTTTAGAAAAAATTTGGTTGGGTTTAGTTTTAGAATACTTAAAATCGAAAGAACCGAACCGACCGCTCTTAATATAATAGTCTAGAATTCACATTTCTTCTAGGTGAATAGATAAGTTATACTAATTTTTTTTATACCTTAATTGATAAAGGTTCACTTTTAGCATGTAAAAAGTAGTTGATTCCATGAGTTTTCTCTTTAACTTGAGATACGAGATGAGTGAAAGGTTTAAAGGAGCAAAATAACCTTGCCTTTTAGTTAAAAGCTAGGTTTTATGCATATGCAATGCATGTGGTTAAATACCATAATTAATTAATTATTTCTGGTTTATTTTCTTATTAAAATTTGTTTCTTTTTTCCACTTTGATAGTTTTTGCTCACTTATATCTTTAAACTTTAGTATTGTAATTATTTATTTTCTATGATATTATTTGAATGTGATACACCCAATTTAAGTTTTCATATTGATGATTGATTGACATGAGACAAATATAATCTGAAACCAATATGAATTTCATATTGTTTGGACGACATGAAACTAAGCTTGACCTAAAAAAGTATAATGTTGCAAAAGAGAAAAACACTTGAAAAAATAGCTTTATGAAATGAAGATGAATAATTAAAGCCAATAAGCCAAGATGATTGATTTAAAAGTGGGCTAAACTGACACAAAAGAGAATATGGAGTTTGTTGCTAGTTATTGATAGACTTTACAAAAAAAATCATAAACTAAATATTATTGTGAACTCTAGTGTAATTTTATATGATAAAAGCATCCACATAAGCATATAAAAGTATTAAAAATATTCATGAAAATCTCTCTAAAGATTCCTAATTTTACTAAAAAAAGCTTAAACTATTCTATAAAAATATTCAGAAAGTATTGTCTCTTATTCCTTCTGTTTTATTTTTTAATTGAGCCGAGATAAACCCTTCTTCATCTTTATCTTTTCCTGGAAAATTCTAAAATAGTATCTTCATCATCTATATTGATTGCGGCATCAAGCTAGAGTCATGAAAATCTCTCTAAAGATTCCTAATTTTACTAAAAAAAGCTTAAACTATTCTATAAAAATATTCAGAAAGTATTGTCTCTTATTCCTTCTGTTTTATTTTTTAATTGAGCCGAGATAAACCCTTCTTCATCTTTATCTTTTCCTGGAAAATTCTAAAATAGTATCTTCATCATCTATATTGATTGCGGCATCAAGCTAGAGTAGGCTTGTTCATCTTTTGTCTTCTCATCTCACTTCACAAAGAAGCTGAATGTATTTTTGATATTCAACATGAACTTCTGCAAATACGGGCTTTGATTTTTTTCTTCTGTTTTAATGATGGACAAATGTAATGAGTATATATTAGTGTATATTATATATAGGGTATGTATTATATAGGGTATAATATTATATATATATAATTATAGTATGTTTATATATGAGACTTGCTTTGGTGCTCTAAAATAATTTTATTTAATTTTTATTAAAGCGAGTAGTTGTAAGTGTTCGGGATGGCGAGAGCTTCTTACCCCCGACGAGACCGTGTCCTTTAACCTCCGTTCCTGCCTCTCCGAATCCTCCGCCTCATCAAAGCAACTGCTTCTAAGAAAACCGGGGGCCGACGGCGAATCTCAGGAAGCAACCTCGAGGTCGCGCGCCTGCCAATCTCGCCCGGCCCTAAAACGCGGCGGGGAACCCCGCGGCGACCCAGACCAAGGTGGCCTTAATGATGATCGTCCGCTCTAATTCGGGGGTCGCGCGCATAAACCGGCCGGCGTCGCGACCTGAACCCCGCAGGCTTCGGAGGCTCTGAAGTCGTGAACATCCAGTAACCAGCGAGTCCAGGGATGCTCTTACTCACGCTTCCCCCATCTTCAAACTCGGCGCCAACGGCCACCGGCGGCCACTTCCCCGTCTCCGAGCGGCAAGAATCACCCGAAGATCCACTATCGTCGACTTTGATCTGGCCCCAGGAGTCCAGGTACGCTTCGATTGATTAACGCGTTCCGAGAGATCCCGGTCACCGCTCGCTCCCCCCCACGAGGGCGGCGGGGGGGGGGGGGGGCGGGGCGGGGGGGCGGGGGCGCGGGGGGCGGGGGGGGGGGGGGGGGGGGGGGGCGGGGGGGGCGGGGGGGGGGGGGGCGGGGGGGGGGGGGGGGGGGGGGGGGGGCTGTCCGGGGGGGGCGGGGGGGGGGGGGGGGGCGGGGGGGGGCGGGCCCAGCACAACAGGGGGGGTTTTGGCCCACCCACCCCACACCCACATCCACACCACAACAAAAAACCCTTTTTTTTTTTTTTCCTTTTTTTTGGCGGGCGGGGCGTGCGGGGGGACCCCCCCCCCTTCTTCACTAGCCCGGGGGCGGGGGCGTGCGACCCAGACTATCTTCCGCTACAATAACTCCGAGCACAGTCAACACCTGAAGATCATCCGCGACAAGATCGTCAACGCTGCAAGCGGTTCGGAGTCCCGATCCGGCTGTTCAGTTTTGAACCGGAGGGCGTCGGAGCAATCGAGCGGGGATCGCTCGGTGCCGAGCCGAGACTCCATCTCGCGAGTGCTTGCGTGATCTGTCGTTATCGCTCTGTCGAGATCCCACGAGAGGTTCCCCGGCACCGCGGGACCAATTGTCCGGCGAGTGAATGCTTCGCCGACACTTGCGAAGATCGTCGAGAGGAGAAGACCCAACACCGCTTCGCAGACCCGGTTGTTCGGTTGTGAAGCCTACCGTCACTACGTCGTCCTCGATCTTCGCTCGACGCGAGATGAGCGGGACATCGGGGCCGGTTAGGATCGAGCGTGCGCCGTAAGAGTAGCAACTCTAAAGAACACCTTGTCTTAGAGGACAGCTGCACAAAGTGAGCCTAGCACAGATCGCGCCTGTCCGATGATAATGGGTCCAAGGAACCCAAGAATTGTTCGACGTCTGATTCCCAACATATCCAGCAATGGCTCACTTAAAAATTGTAAGGCGCACGACCGCGCTTCTCGGTCTGATAATTATGGGCCTACTTAGAGAGTAAGCAAACTGTACTTGCGAATCCAAGCGAATAATTGTAGGAATTGCAAGTGGTTTCCAGATTCCTGACTAAAATTTAATCTTGAAAACTGTGTGCTTCAGTTCTTGATTGCAAGAAATAAAGGCGGCAGAGGAAGACGGGTGGCAAATACTAATTATGCCCTCAAAACCAAATAATTACCAATCTTGGAAGATGGTACTTCACAGAAACCGATCATAGCGTATTTATGGGGAAATATCAGAGAGCGCAATATCGGACACTAATTACATTTGCATGGGTACTCCAAAATTGATTTTTTGGAGCACCAAGTGTAGCTATATATTTCTATTATATATATAATATATTATATTATATATTATATATATATATATATATATTTATTAGTGTTTGTGTTTCTAATTTATTACTTAAATAAGGTTAAGATTTATCTCTTTTTTCTTTGCAGTAAATTCTTCTATTGTGAATCCAATAAGAGTTTCTGCTATCTCAATAATATTATCTTTGCTCTGTTCGCATCATTTTTCTTGAGGATTTGAACTAAATGCCCGCATTTTTAGTTACTTCGTAGCTACAAGTAGAGGGGTCGTGTGCCAAAAGTTTAAAATCCAAGAAGGTTTTCTGGGACATCCCAAATAATCTAGTGGAATAAAAGTAGTTTATGGCGTTACTATTTAAATATATCAGGGGTT